CTCATCAGCAACATCTTTATAAACCACAAACATCTGATCTGAGACGAAGCAGCTTCATCAGAGACACAAACTGAACTCTGGACACAAACTCACCTAGTTGATGAACTAACAGGAAGGTGATGTTGATGGGTTCCTTCGTCAAACCGTTTGTTCCTTCCAGGAAAACTCGACACTCGTATGTTCCAGTGTCCTCCATCTTCACATTGTTCAGAACCAAAGAAACGTCTCCGTCCTTCATCTGTCTGTCCTGTAGATCCACCCGGTTCCTGTAAGATGGATGCTGGTAGTCTGGATCTAAGCGTCCATCTCGGTAAAACAGGACATTGTCTAGAGCCAGTTCAGGTTTGTTCCACTCTACATCTATGATGGTTTTGTTGTCGGGAACTTTACATGGCAGAGTAATGTCCTGTCCGGGTTCTGCTGTGACGTCTACCTGAGCTGAAGGAGAACCAACAGAAGTTAAAGTTCATCCAGATGAGAACAGTTTAACGCAGAAGTTCCACCATCAAACACCAACATAACAGAGACAAGCGTAGCCTTGCTTTGCTGTTGCTCCAGATGAATCCAACAAATAGATTTTGGATCTCCAGAAGTAAATCTGGTGTTGGCAGGAGAATGTTGTGGAAGAGACGGAGTAGAAACGTTCATATTTAAAATATTAATTCTGCCTTTTGCTGAAACAGGCAGAACCATCCATCTAGCAACTGGATGTGCAGTTTCTTTCCTTAGTGGTTGATAATCAGTATTAACAACATCTCCTGTCTCCACAACGTTACATGGAAGAACCTCTGGAGCTGGGCTTCTTCTTCCCTTTCATTAACAAGAACACAAACTCACCTTGTTGATGACCTTCCTGGTCAGAGCTGCTGATTGTTTCATTCTTCAAGCTGATTCTGATCATGCTGATTGTTCCTTTCTGGACAACTTGACACTCATATCTTCCACTGTCCTCCATCTTCACATTCTTCAGAACCAGAGAAATGCCTCTGATCTTTAGGTGTCTGTCCTGTAGATCCACCCGGTTCCTATAAGATGGATCCTGGTCATGTGGATCTAAGCGCTCATTGATGGGAGCTCTACAGGTCAGAGTAACTTCCTGTCTGGGTTCTGCTGTGATGTTTACCTGAGCTGCAGAAGAACCAAGAGAGAAGTTAAAGTTCATCCAGATGAGAACAGTTTAACCACAGAGCTGCTGGTTCTGGTTCTGTCTGGACCTACAGGACCTTAAAGATCAGTGGACAGAGTGTTTCCCAGTTCACTG